GCCTCCTTACTGTACTGTTGTCCCATGTCTGATATTGCCTTTGTGTTTCATCTAGTTTGCATGTTGGGAAAAGAGACCCGTCCAACTAATCATAGGTGTCCTGACTCCCTGTCCCCTACACTAACCACTAGACAATACTCTGCCCATGAAATTCCACCACAGCACATTATCAAATCCTAGAAATGTAGGGCTGGAAGGGACCTCAAGAGGTCATCTAGTGCATGGGTTCTCAACCTTTTTCTTTCTGAGGCCCCTCCCAACATGCTATCAAAATTCCATGGCCCAGCTGTGCCACAACTGTTCTTCTGCATATAAAAGCCAGGGCTGGCATCAAGGGATAGCAAGTGGGGCAATTGCCCGGGGCCCCACACCACAGTGGAGACCACAAAGCTAAGTTGCTCAGGCTTTGGCTTCAGCCCCGGGTGGTGGGGCTCAGGGCCCCTGGCTGCAGTCCTGAACAGCGGGCTTTGGCTTTCTGCCCTGGGCCCTAGGAAGTCTACCACCAGCCATGCTTGGCAGACCCCCTGAAACCTGTCTGTGGCCCCCCCCAGGTGGCCCCGGACCCCTGGTTGAGAACCAATGGTCTAGTGCAACCCCTTGCACCAAGGCAGAACCAAGTAAACCTAGACCATCCCTGACAGGTCTTTGTCTAACCTGTTCTTAGACAAACTCCAAAGATGGGGATTCCACAACCTCCCCTGGAAGTCTATTCCAGTGCTCAACTACCCTTATAGTTAGAAAGTTTTCCTAATAGCTAACCTAACACAATTAGGTGCGCTATGAGCTTTTACAGCTTCCTCTGAAGTATCAGGCACTGACTACTGTTGGCAACCAGGTGAGGTGGCCCAGGTGTCTCTCCCTTCTGTTCCTATTTTCTTACATCAATTCATAAGGAATAACGGTTTTATGGGGAAGTACTGAGAGACGGGAGAGGTGGCTTTTATTGCTGGTTCTGCCACATGGTAGGTGTATGATCTCAGACAAGTCAGGGCACCTCAGCATGGCTGTTTCTTCATAACTAAATTGGAGATAATAATAGATACCTCAGGGGTGTTATGAGGCTAAAATAATTCCTCTCTGCAAAACATGCTGAGACCCGAGGAGGGAAGTGCCAAGTGCTATTGTTAGTGTTACAAATCCAGCACTATATGATCTCTAACACAGCAGGGGCAGGGACGCAGAGCAATCCAGCAGGATGTTCAGAAAATACTGGATGAGCCTAGCAAATTTGCCAGTTGCCATAAGAACTGTTGCTCTCAGAAAATGTAAAGTTGTGCGCTGTGCCTGCGTACTTTCAAGGCCCCATGCTGCTGGTCCATGCAGGCTGTTCCATTGCTGTCTACATCAGTCACTCCTCTGGTCCTCTTCCAGTCTGGCTGCCAACAAGCAACTGTTTCTGCAGCCTGCCACAGTGAGCAGCAGTGGAGGCTGCTGACGTCTGAAAATAAGCAGGCAAAGGGACACACAAAGCACTGTCAGAGCCAATTGAAAGCAGAGAGGAAGGGCCAGTCAGCATCTGACTCAGAACCAGGTAGGCAACGCCTCCCCCGCCGAGGCTGAGGCACCTCCACTGCTGAGCAGACCGTGGGTGGAACTCCAATTATATATCCGCACATGCAATGTTGAAAGCAAAGTTGTGTGGGCTGCTTTCATTACACACAGGCAAATTGAACGGAATGACAATATTGTCGCTTCACTTACTGCTGTCATATCGGATCAACCCCCAGTCGATTTAATCTGTATTGTAATCAGGGATACAGTGAGGGTGAGATTCATCCCAGGTGGACAGACCCTTAGCACTCAATGTAGCTCAGTAGGTCCTAACAATTGTCTGATGAGAAATTTAGACTGTGCATACCTGATAGTGAATGTTTCTTTAACTGCTTATGACTGGCACTTGACCTTGATTGAGGCTACAAGCAAAAACATATTGGTGCTTTTATATCCTGGTAATTAATCAGTGGGCAGTGGTGGCCATTTTATTTACTAATTATTAGTAGTATTTGTTTGTATCACATTAGTGCCTAGAGGCTCCAACCAAGATTGGGGCTGCATTGTGCCAGGTGCGGTACAAACCCGGTCCCTGTTCCAAAGAGCTAAATCTAAATAGAGAAGGCAAACAAGGCAAGGGGAGTAAGGAAAGATTATTTTCATCCCCAAGAGACTGACTTGCCCCAGATCACAGTGGAACGGAACCCAGATCTCCTGAGTTCCACCCCTGTTTTTGTGCTCAAAATTCAGTGTGCTCATTTTTAGTTCTACCAACATACCAGGGTGTAATTTTCCTCCCAGAATGTTATAATAGGGTGGCCAATGACGCATCCCCAGAATACAGGATATCGCCTTGTTTGTCTCCCCCCCTTCCTGTGTGACCCTGCCCCAGCCTGCGTGACCTCACACACTACAGGGGTGGAGCAGCACATTCTGCACAATGGTGTCCTCTGTGCGTGATACTGGTTTTATATCAGTACCGGACAGGGGAAAAACCATACAAATCTGGATGGTCCGGCCGAAAACCAGACAAATGGCCTGCCTGTGTCATAAGCACCTGATTATAGAGGCCTTCCTCAGCTGGTGGCCCCACCAGAGTGGCTATGAAATTAGAGACAGGCCAGAGCTGTGGGGTCAGATCAAGCCTTAGGTCTGAATTTGAATTTCCCCGCAATACAAGGGGTGTTTGTATCTGCTGATCTAGGTCAGCCCATCACAGAGAGAGGAATGTAAGCAGGTACCACTTGTTGTTGCCTGTTTCTATAGCCCCTTCCCCGACAGGGCCCCGATCATGGTTTGTGATGTCTAAGATCTACCACAATATGAATAAATACTAATAGCCTTGGAGATTGGATCAGACCTTTCCCAAAGTTCTTAGAAGGCTTGACTCTGATTTCTGGCTTGCGGGCATTCATTGCTAGCTAGAATGCTGTAGAGGGTGCTGAT